TCTCTCGGGTTTAAACAGCTGCACAAACAGACGAATAAGAATGAAACAGGAAACTGAGCTGTGACCACAGAGTGGAGCTCTGCTGTCGCTGAAACCCAAAGACATGTTGGGAGGCGGAGGAACGCAGCCCCTCCCCCCTCTCTCTCCCCCACCTGTGTGCAGGTGAGGCGGGTGTATAAAGGAGTCTTTCTCTGGATGGAAACAGACTCCGGCGGCCGCTCACACTGAGATCTTTGTCACAAACTTTCGGATTTCCTGCAGAAAGATGGAGAAACTGCTCGCGCTCTGCTTCGCTCTCAGCCTCACCGCCTCAGGTTGGAAAACTACACCTAAACTACACCTTTTTAGATCTTCTGTTTTACTCTTTTCTGCTCCGTCTCAGACTCAAAACAAAATAGAAATCGAGCATCAGAGGAACACAAACATGTTAAACAATGGAAGCTAAAGCTGTCAAAGATATAAAAGAGAAAGAAAAGTACTTCAGTTTAGCGACGGTCTGATTGTTTCCATCATTTATTAACCTGCTGATTGATAAACTGTCCAGAAATAGTTACGTTCAGTTTTCAAAGGTTTTCTTTTGTGTGTGAGTATCAGCCTCGAACCCTGAGAATCGCCTCGCTGTGACGTCTGTGTCATGTTTCAGTGCAGCCTTTCTATGGTCTGTTGTCTTCATCATTTACTTCATCGTTAGTAATTTAACCTCAGCAATCAGCAAATCTCAGCATGTGAGAGATGCATCAGATATTTTGGGAAGGGGGGAAAGATGCTACAGACTCGATCTCTGTTTTATTTAGTGTTTAACAGCTGTTAGTGTGAAAGAAGTGAAACAACACGGGATGTTATTGTGCAACAGTCTGTGAGATACACAGATATTTTCTTCCCTTTAACTTGTGGGAAGATCTAAAACTTCTAAAATTCATCATCCTCCATGATCATGTTTCCATATTGTTTTATTCATTGAAACTAGTGATTGTTTACTGAGCTCACAGATATTTAAAACTGCTCTTGTTCCATCAGTGGCCTCTGGAACAAACTCAACCA